ATTTCAGTTTTTGTCTTGCTTTTCTCTTAGTGGCATCCCTAATGCTTTTCCCCTACTGTCACATGCCTGGCACACTTTCATGTAGACCTGGAGTTTCCTTGTCATTTAAGTAGGCTGTTTATCAGTTAGGTTGATTTTCAGCAAGCTTTTAGTGTTTAACTTACTGCTTAAGTAGATTCTAAGAAGTCGCCTTCTTCGATTTTCCAGAAATAGTGGCTCCTCTGAGCTTACAGATGAGCCTTCATGACATCTTTCTAGGTGAGCTTCGTCTCCCCCAGCACCTTCTTCAGATCTAGTCCAGATCGCAGTGATGAGGAAAGTGCTCTCTGCAACCTCATCCCCAGTCATCCCCAGACTTGGAAGCGTGGATGTCTCATGTTTGCCTGCAATAGCAGAGGGAGCAAGAAGCCTCCATGTCTTTACGTAACAAACTGTTTCGAGTTGTGTGATTTAGAATCAAAGATACACTTTCTGCTCAAATTTCTAGGGATGTAAATCCTACTGCACAACACTGAATTTCTCAGAAATTAAAGGCAAAGATGGTGTCTTCTCATTTTGAATAGTCTATGAATTGAAGGTCTTACAGGGCACCTCTGGAGTTTGTTTTGGTTTTTTTCTAGGTAGGATTTGCAGTCACATTTTATTTATTCATACATTAAACAGCAAGTGGTATCTAGCTTCATATGTCTTTCTGTCTCCTTCACTTACATTTCTCTAATGAATGTCCCATAATATTTGCATCAAATCATAGTCTCTCTTTATTTTAAGGTAATTCTGGAGAACTGGCACCAGCCAGCTGAACCCTGTAGTGAAAGGATAAAACAGAAACAGTATTTCCATTTGGAATGGTGTATTTTTAAAGGCCTGTAACTTAGTAGGACAAAATAGTGTAAAATATGCAAGTGCTGTGAATTTGATGGCATTAGAGGAGTTTTTGGAGGATTGTTGCTTAGTGCAGGATACTGTCCTTTCCTTCTCCACTCTTATTATGTAAAGGAACTGACAATTTGCTAATTTGTTCATCTAATTTGTCTTTCACACTCCAGGACAATCAGAACGGCTTATATTTACAGGATTGTAATTTTATTTTGGATTGATCAAATGCACATCTGTGTACTCCTTACACAAGTATCTGCAAAGCAGGGCACATATGAGGGACTTGTGAGTAAATTACCAGCAAATTGTTTGGCATGAGCAGGAGCAAATAAATCTGCAATTGCAATCTGGAGCAACATGTTGGAGGCCACCTTCCTTAGGTCAACTTGTGTATTGCAACACCAGCAACTAATCAAATTGTAATGTACTTTAATGCAAAGCTCAGTTTGGCTTGGTTGGCAAATTAAACTATCGCATGCCTCTGGCAAAAGCAGAAAGCCTTTGAACTGTTTGACTGCAGCTGTAGCTTGCACACCTTATTTTCCCTCTTAAAAATCAAATTAAACTGTAACCTGCAGCCTCTGTGGTAAGTTTCAAGGAAAATTAAACTGTTGCTAATCTTTCTAGCAAAAATAACTGTCTCTAATCAAGCTGAAAAGTCCAGTCCCAAATTCCCCTCTCCAAGTTTAGACAAATTCATGGAAGGAAAACTCCAGGGCTTATTAAGTACAAAGATATTACCTCTGACTCAGGAAGTCAGTCCTTGGCCACAAATTGCTAGAGACTGGGAAAGTTTGCCGGGAAGGTGTTACTCTGCCCTTGCCTTCTTCTTTCAGCATTTACTGTGGATCCATCCCACAGGCAGGACACTGGGCAGTTGTTATGGTCGGCTTCACGGGTCTGAAGCCTAACCCAAATTCAGGGCACAAATGGACATGCTGACATTGCCCATGGTCATCTCAGCAGTGCCTTTCATGGAAAGCAGTGTTTGGGCCAATTGCTTCCTTTAGACTCGGCCCTTCCTCACCCCGCGCTAGCAGTGCCCAACTCCAGTCATGACCCTTTTTGACTCTTAGGGTTCAGCTTTTGGATGTGATGATGTCCTCCACCTTCCCCACCTGCCATTATTTTCTGTGTCATGCTGGCAGAAACACGTGGCATTTGACTTGCCCTGATAACATCTCTGTTTTTCTTGGAGCTCTCAGAGATAGGATTTTTCCTGGCCTGGATGAGCTGTTGTTATTTCTGTAGAGTCAGCGGTACAATAGACCCTCTTGGGAGCCAAGACCTTGTCCGTCTGGTGGCTCCGGCTTATGAAGAGTCAATCCTGCATGCTTAATGTTATCCTTTGGTTTCCGGGATTAGCGTCTGACCCATGGCAGGTGAGGAGGCAGAGGAGTGCAGCACAAAAGGAAAGAAGTCAATTAAATTTACACTGCGACACGTGTTCACTCAAGGCCGGGTTAAGGCAAACTTTGCCTCAGAGGAACAGGAACTGTCATAGGCATGGCAGTGACAATGGAGGGGATCTTTCCTCTAATGCTTTTTAAATATGTATTCTATCCATGCTTAATACAATTCACAATATAGAAGCTGATGTCTCTGCACTATGGTTTTCTTATTTTTAAAAGTTGGCTTAAAAGTTCTGAGTCTCAGCAGCATGGGTAAAAACCGAGCTCAGGCGTATTAGTCACATTTTTATCAAGAGATGAAAGTGATAGAGATACAAAGTACTACCAGCTTTTAATTAAAATTGAATAAGTAAAAAACAGTTGGCAGTTGCAAAATTCATTATGATGTGTTGCCAAAAATAGACACCTTTATGAGAATGTAGTTTTACTATAACAGTGGGCACTAATTAGCTGTAAAAATCATTGCTGAGATAGCCAGATAGAAAGTGTGTTACTAATACTCATAACAAGTTTCAGTTGGCTGGAATGGAAAACTAGAAACTCTTAGGGCTCTTAAAATGTAGTCTTTTGGACTACCAAAATCATAGGATCGTAGAATGGTTTGGGTTGGAAGGGACCTTAAAGATCATACATCAAAATAGATATATGTACTTCTGTTACTTAAGGCAACATCTACATTTCAGGAACAGTAACTTACTGTTTTCTGCATCTGGCCTTAATTTGCAAGGAAGACTCAATTTTAGAAAAATGTAACCTGACTTAGCTAAAATATGTATGACCTGGTGTTTTTATTTCTTCTTTCTATAGAGTAGTAAGACTTGCAAGTTAGATCCTCCAAAGTTTTATACATAATCATTTGGTTAAAAAGTTCCTTTGACCTTAATAAAAACATCTTCCAATATAAATTTACAGGTATAGATCTGTGGTTTAGAGTATACTTCTGACCAGTTCAGGATGTACATGTGTCTTGTGTAATCTCTGCAAAATTTACTGTAATTGAAAAAAGTTATTTTTCTCTCTCCTCCTGTAATCTAGAACGTCAAGCAATAACAACCAATCTGTGGGTGGTTTATCTGATTTATGCTAATTTGCTATTGACATCTTTGAGGTATCACTTGCATCATCCCAGTCTTGCCTATTTATTATTAAAATATATTAGCTGCTTATGAAAAGGAAATATTTTAAATAATTATTCATTTGCGCTGTGATAACCTCTTGAAATCAGGGCCCCACTCTGATAGACTGTATACAAAGTCATTGCAAATGAAGTGCAACCTGAAGTGAACCTTATCTGTTCAAGATAGATAAGCTTGCAGCAAGAGAAGGATTTGAATGCAGGAAGATTAATACCTCCCACCTACCATGAGTGGGTCTGAACTCATGTAATTTCAGCCATTAAACTTAAGCCATCTAAATCACCTCCAAGGCCAGTACGAGAATGGGGTAAACCCAGCCTATGATACAGCCTGCATAATTTAGATACCCAAGACCTTCAGGGGAGACTCCAGCACCAGTACCCAAGCTTGGGTTCATCTTTTCAAAGTTGTGTTTCACATTCCTGTGTCGGTACCTGAGTAAGCACACACACAAGTGATGAGTGAAGTGATGGCTCCTTGGCAAAGTCAGAAGGTGCTGTGTGGGGTGAAGCTTTTCCAGAAGAGGCCACTTACATGCCTGAGTGCTGAGCTTTAACAGTAGAATCACAGGCACAAGCCCCATATTTTAAAAAGTTTACCCAGAGCCTTTGGTATCTACCTGTTATTGATACAAAAATATCCTTCGAAATCAATCACCTGTCACAGATCTTGCTAGTACTGCAGGGCTCTAGCTTCTTTGACTAATGTGATGCGCCGGTACACTAGAGCTATATGCCACGTTCATGAGTTGAAACAAAGTCCAACATAGAAAAATGTGAGTTTCCAGATGTTTTCAGTGGGAGAGATTAGAGCTGCAGTATATCAGAATTTGCAGATACATGAATTTAAGGAAATTCTATATCTCTTGTTCTTTATTGATCTTACTCATAGGAAAATAATCAGTATTTACATAAAGCAGCCCGTGCAGAAACTGGCATCTACCAATATTTGGAATATTGGTTAGCCTTGCTGTCTCAGAGAGATTTCATCCATTGCTTTTCTTTCAAAAGCTTTATTTAAAAAAAAACACATTTCCCCAAAAGTTGTATTTTCTTCAAAATACTGTGTGTTTATGATAGAATAAACCTTATACACAAGCAATCTAAGAATAGGATGTGACAGGTTTTCTTTTCTGAAAACTAGTAACTGATGCAAGTCTTTTTATGATGCCTACACCATTGCAGTTTGTTTACAGTTAAATTGTGCCCCCTTTTTTCTTCTGAATTGCAAATGTTTCCTTTTGTTAGGGGGTCAGTATCTGATAAAGGCATGTTAATATTCTTGGAGATGAAAGCCTTAAAATTATTATTAACATTGAACATTAGAGCTCCTTTCCCCCTGCATCCACACCCTGGTGATTGAATGAGGCCTCAGTAACAGGACCAGAAATACCCTTCATGCTTGCCTGAGTACTGCCTGAAGATTTGCAGGAATACCCAGGTCAGAGACATTCTTGAATGCTTGGAAAACTCTTGGTATATTGGAACACAGAGAAGGGCAAGCTCTGTTATGGAGGGAGGAAAAATATGCAATTAAACCAGTGCTGTGGAGGAGCAATGGCTGCAAGACCGACGCCATGAGGACCTCAACCAGAGTGGTGCTGGCTCACATGGCAGTGTGCTCAGTCCAGGCTGGGTGTGAGAGGCTGTGATGCCTGCTGTTGTCACCCAGAAGGTGATGGCATCGTACAGGCATGCAGGACTGACCCTGACCATAAGTTAGGAAACTCTGGTCCTTAACAGATGGGGAAGGCTGAATGCCAGGGATGCAGAGATGCAAAGATTGGCTGATAGTGTGCAACAGCAGCAAAGGGAACCAGGGCTGAGACTTTGTAAAGGCAAATCATGAAGTAACTCTAAACCCTCCGTGTTCACTTGTGTTTCTCACTGCCTCCTTGGCAGTCAAAGCCAACACAGGCCACTGAAGGATTTCATCCTCTCTACATTGCAAACCAGCTTGTGCAGCTGGAGAGAAAAATGTTCTGTTCAGTTTGGGACACCTTGAGGACTACACCCCAGAGCACTGCTGCTGAAACATTGCAGAACTGCCCCAAAGGAATGGAAAGTTCTGGCAGGTGTTAAGTTTGCTGTTATTACCAGATAAGATTTAAAGATAAACAAATGCATTCAACTAAAAGCCTAGATTTGCAATAACAGAGCAAAGTTAGAAAAAATAGAACATGTGCAAATGATGCAGTATGATAAATAGTAGAAATTCCTTTTAAAGCATATAATGTGCATACAGGCTATATAACAAGCCCATTTATGACATTCAAACACAAACTGGAATCTTGAAGATAGCATTGCCAAATCTGCAAAAGCTCCACCACGTCCTTTGTTAGATTTTGGGGACTCGTCTGCATATTACTGGGTTTTGATGACCTTGAACAGAGATTACCAAAGGCTTTGCATCTATTCAGGCCAGCTTGCCTCCCTTCCCAGCCCTCCTTTCTAACATTGCCTATAAATAGCCAAACACACACACACAAGTGGTTGCCATTTAAAAATCCACATTTTCTAGCAGAGACCATAGTACAATACTTTTTGCAGTATTTTGTTCGGGGACTGGTACAGAAATTTGTTGTGGCATCTTAGATATCACTGTGAGATAAGTCTTGGCAAATGCTAGATTTTACTTGCTTATTTTAAGTATTTTTATCTATATTAAGTGAAAATTATCTTGTTTCCCATTATAGTTCGTCATCAATCAGATAACGATAACGAGGCCATTGAACAAATCGATGAAGATATAGCCGTGACTCAGAGTCAGATGAACTTTATTTGTCCCATTACACAGGTATGCTATCACTGCTATTCTAATCGATTGGGAAATAGTTATTTCATGTTCTTCCTTGGATTGTTTATTACAAACCTGCAATACTTGTTAAAAATCAGGCAATATAAATTACAAGCATTATCAGAGAAGGGCAACATTGCCTGGGGAAAAGCCCAAGTAGTCAGTAGGAATGCAGTTCACCATGCATTTCAGTGAAATGCCATGTATGAATGGCAAGCACATTTCCTGCTGTTTTACATAAAATCTCACAAGAAGCACTTTCACGGGCATTATCAGTTCCTTTAAATCAAACTTTATTGATTACAGGTGGAAATGAAGCGGCCAGTCCGAAACAAAGTCTGTGGACACACTTATGAAGAAGATGCCATTCTAAAAATTATCCAGACTCGAAAGCAGCAAAAGAAAAAAGTCCGGTAAGCTAACAAGAATGTGTGGAAAAGCTATTTGCTTTGCTGCGTAAGTGGAATTTTACTCCACTTGTTCTAGGAAATGTATTTGGTTTGGCAAGGCTGCAGGAAGTAATACTTCAGTGTCTGCCCAAGTCACAGCCTCCTCATTAGCACTGTACACGTGAAGGAGCTTTGCTTTTAATGAAAGCAACGTGTAAGGAAATATTCAGGAACCGTGTGGGGAAGTTACAGCTGCTTGTGGTACCTGCACAACAGAAGCAAAGGGGTTTTGTATAGCCATGAACAACAAACTTCAGCTTCCTAAAATGTAATTGCTCATTTTGTTCCCACTGCTTATTTAGAAAGCCCTGAAGTTAATGAAAAAATTACAGACCTCTCCTCTGTACACCCTCTTTTGCAGTTATATTCCAACACGGCTGAGAAAACGTTCAAATAAGTGCCAAAGAGAGAAATACAAAACCACAGCTTTTTAGGTAGTACGAAGTTTAAGAATGATCAGACAGGATTGTGCAGTTCCTACTACGATGCAGTTAAAGAATTCTTACTTTATATCATCAAAGCAGCCTGCCATTTTCCACACAGGACATATTGGTTTTTTGAATGAAAAGATGTAACAGTTGAATTTTTAATCCTGAAATCCTCCCTGGTAAGTTTCAAATTTTGATTTTTTTTTCTTAAATAAAAAAAAAGAGAAGAAAAGGTGCTCAAACATGTTTTAGAGCAAGTTTAGAGGACATATCATTTTATCTTTAATTCCACATTTGTTTTTTACACCATATATGCTAGAGCTTCATGCTTTGGCATTAGTGACCTCATGGAAACATACCAGTTGTGGACTTATTAATAAATGTGCAATTTGCACATGCTCAGGAAGGCCTGTCTGAGACTAGCAACCTGATTTCCCCAAAGATAACGCCACAGGCAGCTGACTTCCTCTGTCCCTTGCTCTTGCATTTCATAGAATCACAGAATGGTTTGGGTTGGAAGGGACCTTAAAGCTCCCCCAGTCCAACCCCTGCCGTGGGCAGGGACACCTCCCACCAGACCAGGCTGCTCAAAGAACCATCCAACCTGGCCTTGAAAACTTCCAGGGAGGGGGCATCCACAACTTCTCTGGGCAACCTGTGCCAGTGTCTCACCACCCTCACAGTGAAGAATTTCTTCCGGATATCTAATCTAAATCTACCCTCTTCCAGTTTAAAGCCACTGCCTCTCGTCCTACCAGTACCTGCCCCTGTAAAAAGAGCAGTTATTTTACAGCAGTTACTCCAGTATGCTAGAAAAGCACACACAGCAGTCACTCAGCTTCACTGTAACTGAATTAAGAGAGACTACTTGATTTTCTCTGCCCAGTCTCACTGACCTGCTGTAATTTTAACCTTTCTTGTGAAAATGCAGTCAGTTTTGAAAACCTTAGTCTGCTGTGGTGGGAAGACAGTCCAGCTGATGCAACCAGTTCCCCACTTGAGTACCCCGTTCTCATGGGGTTGCTGCTTGACTGTGCTCCTGCCAAAAATGCTAGAGTGGTAGCAAGTGCCTTGACAGAGCAGAGTCATGGTTAGGGGGTTCCTCTCTATCCTGACCCTGAAATCAAAGGTGATGCTCACTCTGAAGTTACAGCAATGGCTGTTTCTCACACATGCTTTCCAGTTTGAACCCTCAGGATCCCTGCGGTGCCCCTGGCAGTGCAGTAGCTGGGTGGCAGCTCTTCAGCTGACGTACGCGTAGCCACCAGTTTTGTGCTGATAGACTTGCCATGGGCTCCCTGAGGCACCTCTTACGTGTCTCGGTTTGGTCACTGTTTTTCCACTGCCTGGAAGGACACGCTAATGCTTACAGGAAACGTGTGAAGCTTTCTGAGTACTCGTTATTCATTAATCTGGCAGGCTATTGCTCTAATAAGGTGATAAATGGGAAAACTGAGGCACAGAACAATTAAGTGACTTAGCGATGACAAACACAGCAAGCTGTGGACAAATCTGGAGTAAAAGCTGCGAGGACTGAGTGTAAATAAGTTCAGTGCCTCAGACAAAAGTTACTCCTAATAGAGGAAAATTTCAGGAAAGGTGTTATTTCTGACTGCAGGTACCATCTGTGCATGTTTGGGCCATGGCCAAAGGAAAATGACCTTTGGTCTCTGAATATCTTTCACCCTGCTGTCTTTATCTGGCTTTTTCAAGTACTTGTAAGTCATTTTGTATTTGATTATCATTGAGAGGCTGTTAATTTGACCCCATTTCTCCTTTCTGTGCCTTCTCAGTTTGTAAAAGGCCAGCTAAATTTTTACACCAACTCAATAGCCCACTGATTCACCAGTCAGCCTTTGCAAGTCTCATTCTCCTTCATGTATTTCCCTAGAAATTAATTTCCCTATTTATCTATCAGTGAAGATCATCCTCCTCCACTGCAGATTAATAACGTAAGAAGCAGTTACCTGCAGCTTGTAGAGGACTGCGGAGAGAAAGCAACACAGAAAGATGTCCATGCAATGCCAGCATCATTACTGATGCAGGCAGCTGTGTACGTATACCAAGAGAGTGATGTACAGGTGAGAAGCTCTGTGTCTTGCTGTGTTCCTTCCTTCCTTCAGCCGTTGATTGCCACCAGTTTAGATAAATGGATTTATTTTTCCCCACAGAGAGCTGGTGAAGAGGAAAGGAGGTAGTGAGGAACTGACAGGGAGAGTGAATGCCAGATAAATACAGTAAACCAGCAGATGCTATGTAAAAGCCTACCTCTGACACATACAATTCTTCCGATTTAATGGAGTGTCTCTTTTCTTTTTAACAGATGCCCTAAAATTGGCTGTAGCCATGCTGATGTAAAGGGATCAGATCTTGTGCCGGATGAAGTACTTAAAAGAGCGATTGACAGCCAGAATAAACAGAAGTGGTCAAGACTGGAGAAGTCAGCTGAATACGCTGATGCCACAAATACAATTTGTTACTAGAGGTCTTGTGAGATAAGCTGCTGATTGTAAGTAGGTTGTGTAACTGATTGTTATTTAAAGTGTTTCATTTATAGGCAAAGTTGAAGATCTAGGCTGTGACTGAAAACATTTTTTAAACTGCGAAATATGAGGATTCCAGTTCAACTTGTTTGGAGATATTTTTAACCTTCCTGGAATTCTACAAGCTTGCATTTGATAAATAAAAGGTGTTTTGCAGCATTTGACCTTCCTTGTCAGTGTGCTAATTTTTTCAGCATATCATGAGATGCGGATTCTGCCGGCATGTAATAGTGAGTGCTTTGCTCAGTATTGCAGATAGTTCTGTTACTGTCTCTGTAATTGCTGGGAATACTCAGAGTAGGTCATGCTGAAAAAGGATTTACCCAATTCATATACCCTGTGTGGGAGGATGTCCATGTCTTACTACAAACCTCAGGAAACTTTAATAGAGCTTAATTTGCAGGAAGTGCTGCACATCTGTGCCTTGTGCATGGACATGCAAAATTACCACTCACCTTTGAGGATCTTGGCCTAATTTTTGTTATTTTTTAACACTCTGCCCTAACCTATGCTTTTCTTTTGAGATTCAGGAGCTTTTATTTCAGGCTTTTTGTACTTGGAAGTTGCAGAGAGCTTACCTTAATAAGGGTAGGTTAGGTAATAGGTTAGGAGACTACAATTATTTACAAATTTTTCCAGTAACTAATATGTCGATAATACAAATATATTGTAACCATATGCCTTGAACTGAAAAGCAATAAATCTCATTTTATATAAGCTTCAGATATCTATGCTTTTGGGGCACAGATCCAAAAAAGGACTTAAATGTCATGTTTATTAACTAAATTGATCTGAATGCATATAGCAGATAAGGCACTATGTATATGAATTAGAAATAGCCCTAGGTAAAAGGACCTACCTCAGTGGTCAGATGGCAATTATCTCTTGGCATATATGCAGCAGAAAATAGAGGTTTCTTTGAGCTTTGGGATCCTTAGTAAGTTAGATGGTATTTTCCTAGGTATTTTTTCTGAAGTTATGATCTGACGTTTAGTGTAAAATGTAGCTAAGGTACCTAAATGCTCATCTTTTCACTCTGGGTTACTGCTTGCTAACAGCTTTCCTTTTGCAGACCATTATTAACCCCAATTGCAGTTAAGAGTGCAAACCACTTCAAACTGAATTTGCTATTTTGTAATTGAAGAATATTAATCTGCGAGCTGCTTTCATAGCTAACAAAGGGGAAGTGAGCCATTATTATTTGCACTGAGCTTTTGTGTTCAAAACACTTCATGGGAATTAGCTGGGTAATTTTCATAATGTGGTCTAACCCCAAAGGTCCATCTTTTCAAAACTGAGCATGATCGTGGGTGTTTCTGTCTGTGGAAGCCCAGCTGAAAGAGACTGGGGAAGTTGAGCAGTATGCACTTGTTTGTATTTTTATGTGTAAAATCAGGTCACTTTTAAGACATCTCAGGTCTCAAACCTGTAGGTTTTAAGATGGGTCACTGATTTTCAGTTAAATACCACAAGGGAGGATGTTAATGATAGCATTCGTCAAAAAAAGAAAGGGGGGAGGGAGGGGGAATGTCCCCATGTCCTAAACTGTTCGCAGCTTTTTGTTTCATCTCTAAGTTTGTGGTTTAATTTACTTCAGCGCCATTTATAAGCAGAACACTCAGAAAGAGAAACTTGCATTAGTTAAACAATCTCCGCAGTTTCTGACAGAGGTGCCTTAACTTTGTCCTTATGGATGTAAATCCATCCCCAGTGGTAATCAGTCTCCCAAGTTTCCAGATCCCAATTTCAAGATGTACATACCTTTGACATAGCCACAGTGTTGCACCTTAAAGTTGGTTTGTGTAGGTGCCTGGATGCTTGAGTGTGCCTTCCAATAGCACCTAATGTTATAAATGCTAAATTATACCCAGATTAATTCGTACCGAGAAACTGGTGGGAGCAGGTTTGGTTTGCTACGTGTGGTGTTTGTAGCAATATACTCTTAGATAGCCGTAGTTCCTGATAGGGTCATTACCTGTTCCAGTGAGTAATGCTACACAGAGATTGCTGTCTTGGTTACACCTTGTTATCCTATGTCACCGAGAGAGGCTCGACCCACAGCGGTTGGAGCTGCGCTCAAGCTCTGTCAGCTAATCCACAGGTAATGATGTGAACTGCCTGCTTAGGGAGATGCAGCCTAATCTGAAGCAAACAATCCGAAGCAACACTTTAAATGAGAAGAGAACAAATAGTCAAGCACTCATTGCTACTCTGAGTGGAAAGGTATTTCTGAATGTTCGCATCCCTGCCTCAAAATACGTGATCTTCCTTCCCTCTTTGCCAGCCTGAGCCAGGCAGCGGCAGTGAATCAGAGCCTGAACAGCAAGTGCAGGGGCAGCCTGAATTCTGAAATCCTCAATCATCTGCTGAAAGAAATGGGCTGATTTTTGGCAGCACTTCTCTGCTTGACTTTAATAACAGTTGTAAATGAGGTGAAGATACATGTGTATTTAAATAGAGGTAGGTTTCTTTCTTTTATCATCACTTTCAAGTATGGCCACAGCAATATTATCCAGAAAAAGGCAAATTCTTCATGCACTTCTCTTAGGATTGCTGCTGAGAGCACTTAAATGAGTCCCATCAAAATCAGTGATGCACTACGCAGATTCAACTGCTAGAGAAAACTGCCTGTATTTACTGAAATCAGTGAAGTTCTCCCAAAAATGTTTGGCATTTCTGAATTTAAACTATATCATAACATCCAAGGAATCCTAATGAGTGAATCTTTTTTTTTTTCTCTGAATGTGGAATTTGAGCCACCCTGTGGAGTTTTCATGGCTGGTTCTCTCTTGGTGTTGGTTCTTAGATGTAATTTTCCTTCTGAAAGTAAAATCTTACAGACTTGGTCCAGATAGAAGTAGCTTGAAGTAGTTAAAGAATAAAAATAAGTGTCTGAATAAGCGGATCTGTATGATTCACAGAAGTGGAAACTCAACAGCAGTTAAACCTTCACATCTTAATCTGTTTTGGCTATATGATATCATATGTAAACAAGCATATGTTAACAGTTCACAGGGTAATTCGTGTCTCATTGTTTGACGTCAGAAATTTTGCAACAGTATTTAAGGAAAGAAACTCAGAGCTGAGGTGTTGGGATTATTTTTCCTTTTCCATACAGGGTGCTTTACAACTGCAGCAAGCCTTAATGTAGCTGATAAGGGTCTGTCACTGAAACCTGGTGAAAATCTGTCTCTGTCAGAGAACTGAATTTCCACATGGTATTTTGAGTGATTAAAGGAACATCTAATCAAACGTTGAAATAAAGAAAAGGCAAGAGAGATCTATAAGCAACAGCTTTCAGTGGTACCCCAAGGCACAAGCCACTAGCGCAGCTCTCTCACTTGAGCAGATTCTCCCTGTGAAGCAGAATTCTCCATTTTCCAACTCTTTCTGAAGTTTTCAAATCAGTGGAGCTGTGACGTGTAAAGATAAAAGCTAATCGGGCAGGCATCTCATGGAAGATTTAACACACTTGTGCTAAAAGGAGCACATGCATTCCTCTGAATCAAGGACATATTCATCATTACTGCTCCGGAGCTGTGATCTTATTCATTCTAGAAGAATCAAAAAGAGTGGCTCAGGCAGGGCTCCCTTGAGAAACACCCGGAGCAAAAGCAGGGGGTGCAGGAAGTGATACCGATGACTCAGCAGCCAAGGCCAACACACTGCCTTGTTTTAGACAATGTCCTCTTGGACACACTCATGTTTCCTCATGAGTGGCTGATGACAAAGGTCTTACCTACCTGTGGTCACAAGTACCTCATGACGTTTTTCTCAAGAATAGCTCTAGTGCTGTGGCCAAAACCAGCTTAGAATTCACTCTGCAGCTTGATTCACTTCCACTGCAGTTTCAAGTGAATGTGAATCTCCCTAGAAACCTCCATGTATGGATCCTGAGGTAGCCTGTGGTCCATTAACTGAACATTTCTGTAATAGACAGTGCTGTGTTATACAGTGAAGAAGATGCGCCCTGGAAAATGTTAGAATATCCCAAGGACAGGTCTTCCTTTCTCATGCTACAGCCAAAGCCTTAAGCTGGTGGCTCCTCACTACAGGTACAGGCTACTACTGACTGCAAATTCCAAGACTTTAATAAATAAGGATTTATTTTCTGGTCATAGAACACTTACTGTTAATACATATTATTTCAAATGTATGACGTGGTCACAGCAACACTTAGAGGAAAATCCTATGTGTAGGTGCCAGCGGGTTCTAGGCTGCCAGCCAGTAACTACAAGAAGTAAAAACATTGGATTGATTGTTAAGCAAGTAAAATTCTGGGATGCGTGCACACCGTACAGCACATACCCACGTACGTGCTCAGCCTCCTGATGCACGAGTGGTCTCAGCGACTTAAGAGGACTGTGAGAAGGTACAGAAAACACCGAGTCTTTCATCATTTCAAAACGCTGCAGAAAATGCTGAGGTGGATGGAGGAGAGAGCCTGCCTCGCTCGTGTATTCAGATGTTAGTCCAGACCCGGATACAGTGCTTGAAAGCATGCACATGAATTGAATTGCATGGGAAGCTTACCAAAGGAAGTGTTTGCTTGTAAACTCAGTATGAATAGGATCTTCTCTGACCGCAAGGGAAATGGAGAGACACTCATTCACTGTCTGCTTGTGCAATCAACTTCTGAAGTAAAAACAGGATTTGAGGTTTAGAACCTGAACCTTCACACGTCCTTCAAGCAACAGAAGAAGCCTTCATCCTCTTTAGTCTGCAAAGGAACAAAGTCAGGAGGTGTTGCTCATGAGACTCCTTGGGTTTGATAACAACTGGCTTATCAAAAGGGAATTATTTAGATTTCCTAGCAACAGCAACCCTCAGAGCAGCTTCGGTGTGGGCTTCAGGGGAGACATCTGAACACCATTACGTTGCGCTTCTTTTGATCTCACTACATGCCCATCATGTGTTTTATATCTAAACAGTGAATCTGCCACCGAGTTCCACAGTGTCTAAGGGTGGTTGTGGGTTTATCACAGATGCGATTCCTGCTATAAAAAACATTACTTTTAAGTTCTTTATAATCTGGTCACAAAGCTCCTCTTTGAGCCTTGTCTGCGCAGGGGGATTCTGTACACTGGTAGATTGTGGATGAGCTGCTGGTTTTAAATTGCTGGCTTCCAATCTAGCAGTAGGTCAAATTTCCTTTCAT